TTATCTATCTTCATGACACGAAGAACGAAAGAACGGGAAAAAAATCATAAGCAATAGCTGGCAAGCTTCAATAACGATCAATATGATTCATTTAGTGATATAATATACTTAGGAATACAAAAATAGTGATTCTGAAATGTGGAACGCTCATATATTCTTTAGCTTTTGATTATTTCGGCTTGTCCAAACGTAACGCTGTTACGTTTTTGACACACTGTTCTTCAATTAACTCGGAAGGTTTAACAGCTAGAAAGTTCATTCAAACGCCATCCGACACAGCTTATCAAACTCTATTTNACAATTATGATAGAAATATATGAACTCAAAGTTTTTTATTCTCGTTAATATTTTTACAAAAAGTAAGTTTCAAGCAAATGATAGCGCTATACTACAGTTGGGTTAGGTTTTAACAAGAGTACAATATAGATATTACTTTAGAAGAATGCAAATGCTAGATGTCACTAAAAACAAACTTCATAATTTAAGTTGATCAGAAGAATTTAATATGATAAATAATTTATATTAATGATGTATTTCATAGATTGTTAATACAAACTGTTTCAAAATAAGTTTTATCTGAAGTGCATAAATAGATTTTCAGTTCGATATTGATTTGAATATTCATTCATATTTCATCATAGATTGTATGAAGGAGGATTGAAGAGGAAAATGAATACGCCATGAAAATGGAGAAGAGAGTAAATGGAAATCGAGAGAGAGAACATAGAGAATAAGCGAGTAGTAGAACGAACGGAGAAAATTATTTATAGGAAAATATAAAAGGGTCTAACAGTAAAAATATCTCTCATTCGATTCTAAGGTCAAGTAAGTTCAATATAGTTCATTTCATTTTCTATAACAACAACTTTTCATCGTTATATAAGAAATGGATTATGTTCTTTTTACCCTCATTTAAAATAAGAATGTTTTATTGACCTTTTTGTACATCCTTAATAATATCCAGGGCTGGCCCGATAAGGGGTTTTGGGGGTTGTGACAACCCTCCAATAATCGAAAATTTTCGTTTTTACCCAGCAAAAATGAATTTTTTTTCGTGAGTAGTGTGAGAAAAAAGTTTTATTCGCATTAAAAATATCCGAAACAACCCCCCAATGTTTGCTGACTCGGGCCAGCCCTGATAATATCATTGCATCTATTTGCATTTTTCTTTTCAAAACATTCACTTATCAATTGTATATTCATCATGATAACTTGAAAAAAGAATACATTAATAATGTATTTTGAAAGCCTAATCTATTTAGTGTCTCAAATAAACAATTCAATTTATAGAAATAGATAACAGTATTAATGTCATTTCGAGAGAAGAACTTATTTTATAAACCAAAAATAAAAGTATTCTGTAACCTTCAAGAGATGAAATTTTATCAGTTCGTACGTTTGTTCGAGGTTCGAACTTTGTGAATTTTATTTATAATAATCAAAATAATACTGGACATCTTTTTTTTGAATTGTAAAGATCAATTTAAGAATAATTTGTTTTGAACTGTACGATGATAAAAAAGATTTTCAAATAGTTTAAGCTTAATTTTTGCTCGAGAACATTCATTTTACATTATAAAAGTTGTCGAATGATAAACCTGAATTTTTATCAATCAGACGGACCATAAAATAACAGCACGATAAAAAGAGAAATTTATATATGTTCGTTCTATGTAAAACAATGCACTGATCTCTCCTTTTCTTTATACATAATTGAATGCTTCGAAATTTTATTCATAAAAAAAAATGTTAAGAAATCCTATTTAGAACACATATCATTGATCTTAAGAAAAAATTCGTAAGTTTTTACGAAGTCTACAATGCTTTTCATGTGATCTACTTTAGATAAAATTAAATATATTAGAATTTAGAGTTTTTCTATATCTACATAATAGATATCAGAACTAGCAAGGCCAAGTTTTTTTTCTGATGACAGTCTTGGTCTCCGAGAAAACTATTTCAGAATCTATTTGCATTAAATCTAAAAACAAAAACGTAAAATACTTGTGTTTTTATTAATTCAGCCGACAAATGTTACATTATTTTCTTTTGATTGTCTTTTCTGTATTTCGCTATTAATTGATAACATGCTTCGCTGAAAATCATATAAAATTTAACTGCAATTTTTACTTTCGATTCGAATAATTTTTTCTTGGAGTTCCGATCTCGTACATTCCTAATCAGAAGATACCGAACTGATTAATCGCTTTAAAATCTGAGCTATATGCAGTATTTAGACCCAAATGAAGTTATTACTGCATAGATACTGCAAAACTCTCACTGAAAAAGAAGCTTCCAAGGGTTCTAAAATGTTCAAGTATTCAACAGTTTTAGTAGGCTTCTGCTATTGCGAAAGCTATTAATACAACGAGGATATGGGTATTACTGAAGAGAAGACACACACATTTACACTCACATCATTTGATGATATTATGAACAGAAGAAATATAAATTTGTTAATCTGTAATGATGTTCAAATACCTGTTTCCAGGCAAACTGACGATTACAGAATATATCGTGATTATGATCTCAGACATTGACGAAAAATGAAAATGATTTCTAGACATTATTCTTGTTCATAATTAATTGATATCGGAAGAAAAATTTTTTATATGCAGGCGGTGTCTGACCAAGATGTGAAGCTTAGCTAGAAAATCTAACTTGTTGGCAACTACTGTAAAAGTTCAATAAGATAAAGGGTTAAACTGTTTTCAGGGTATGTATAACTCATTTCGTTCTACTTAATGCACGTAGTCTTGATTCAAAAACAATTTATTAGTTGAAAGACTTTCGTTGTTAGAAGAAAAAACTTCAGGTTTTGTTTTGAATTCAATGATATTAGTTTCAAATAGTATTTCTTGACATTATTTTTTTTATGAATAATGACTTTGAATATTTTTCTATCATTAATAAATAAATCATCTCATTTGATTTACATAGATTCGACATATTCAAATTTTTTATCATATTGTTATTTATGGTCTAGTCTATTCTACTAAAATTTCTGCATAGTTGACAGTTTCATGTATGAAAAGAAGTAAAATGTAACATTTGCTCGTGTTAAAAATAAATACGATATAGATAGAATAAGCAGAAACATTCATTATATAGGTCAACTAATGGTGAGAAGTAGATGGGTTCATAATGCATTGTAGATCTTTTTATCTTTACCTGAAGATCAGAGTTTGAAATATTTTTCATACGAAACTTCTGATTCATATTCGAAAAAAAAAAACAGATGTTCTAGTATATATATCCAATATTTAAAAAAAAAGTTTTTTTGTTATGTTTATTCTTAGCAAAAAAAAAATATACAATCACATTTTTTTGTTCGTTATGTCATAACACTCTATTTTAGATAATATATAAAAGTTGATTCAGAAAAAAATACATTTTCTGTTAAAAATGGTATATATTGCGGATAAATCAAAATCATCACGTACATCAATGCCATATGTACCAACACCATTAGATTTACCGACTCCTCTTGCTGATAAAACATCATCGGCAACTTTAGAAAATCAATCAAATACGAATAACGAACAAGAAGAAGAAGAAGATTTTATTAAAAATAATTATGTTGCACGAACATTATTGAATGAACCTGAATTACCACCTATAACTTGGTCAAATTGGTACACACAAGTTAATTGGCCTCAAGCTACATTATTATGTCTTGAACCATTAGTTGCTTTATATGGTCTTTTTACGACATCATTTATGTGGCAAACAGTTGTTTTTACTATAATATGGTATTTTCTTACTGGTTTTGGCATAACAGCTGGTTATCATCGTTTATTTTCTCATCGTTCTTATGAAGCTAAATTACCATTACGATATTTCTTACTCGTACTAGGTGCAGGTTCAGTTCAAGGTTCTGCTCAATGGTGGTCACGTGGTCATCGAGCACATCATCGTTATACAGATACAGATCTTGATCCATATAGTGCACATAAAGGAATGTTTTATTCTCATATTGGTTGGTTATTATTTAAACCACGTCGAAAACCTGGTGTTGCTGATATTAGTGATCTTACACATGATAAAAGTGTACAATGGCAACATCGTAATTATATTAGTTTAGCTTTTTTTATGTCATTTGTTTTTCCAACTCTTGTTTGTGGACTTGGATGGGGTGATTATCGTGGTGGTTATTTTTTTGCTGGTGTACTTCGTCTTGTTTTTGTTCATCATTCAACATTTTGTGTTAATTCATTAGCACATTATTTAGGCGATGCACCATTTGATGATAGACGTACACCACGTGATCATTTTGTTACAGCACTTGTTACACTTGGAGAAGGTTATCATAATTTTCATCATGAATTTCCATCTGATTATCGTAATGCACTTAAATGGTTTCAATATGATCCAACAAAATGTTTAATAGCATTTTTTAAATTAATTGGACTTGCAAGTAATCTTAAAGAATTTCCTAAAAATGAAATTCGTAAAGGTCGTTATACAATGGCACGTAAGGCATTGGATCAATTTGGACGTAGTATAATTTGGCCAAAAGGAAATTCCGATTTACCGATTATTTCATTTGAAGAATATCAAGAATTTTCGAAAAAAAATGATGATCGTGTACTTGTTTTAATTGCTGGTTTTATTCATGATGTTAGTAATTTTATTGATTCACATCCGGGTGGTCGAGCAATAATTAAAAGTTATGTTGGCAAGGATGCTACCGTGGCATTTTATGGTGGTATACATGATCATAATACAGCAGCACATAATATGCTTGCTATGATGCGAGTTGCTGTTTGTAAATATGATGGTGAAGTAGAACATATTAAGAAAAGATTAGGACACGTTCAAACTCCGACTCCAATATTTGCCTAAGTTTTTTTTTCTGTTGTTAAATCATAAAGCATTTTAAATTTCTCTGATAAAGATCTTGATCAAAAAATAAATAAATAATAGCGTAACCGTGAATTTATTCTTTTAAAAATAGCGGTATATTAAACATAAAAAAAAAAAAAAAGATCAATAAAAGTCTAAAGTCGTGAATGAATTAAATTCTTGATGCCAAAATCATGATCAGCATTATTATCACTTCGAATATCAACATGAACGAATAGAGTTGAATGAGTTTCATCATTATTATTAGCTCTTAAATAAATATGACGATAGTCTAGATAAAAGAAAAATAAATGAATCATGAAAAATGAAATAGTATTATCATTTGTTTCGTATCTATAACTTTATACGATATTTTACAATTCGGAAAAAAAAACAAAGTGATGCACGCGGATGGTATTGTTTGCAAGATTAACTAGAAAAAGAAATTGTTGTCTTGTTTCTTGGTATAGCAAAACATATTTGTAATTCTCATCAATTGAATTGTTAGAAAAAGACTTTTTTTTTCGTATCAGCTAGATGAAAATTGATCAAAAATCATCCTTCTCTATTTGGGAGTAAAATATGAGTTGAAAAATTCGAAATCACTAATGGGAACTTCGTGAGACGTTTCCAGAAAAATGCTGCAAATCTTTGCCATTTTAGACAAAAATTGGTCAACTTTTCAACCAGAACTGTTTTTTTGACCACATCTCTCTTTAACTAGACAAGATCAGTGCCAATAAAAATTAAAAATACTTTTACCAGAAAACTGGTTGGATATCTATGAATTAAACCTTTTTGTAAAGTAGAAAACTTGTCTGTTATCTCTTACCTGGTTGTATCATTTCCACTGGTGCACTAAAATAAACAATTCTATCGTCGCCCGATATAGGATCATAATCAATAACAGAAAAATATACAAGACACATTTGTGGAAATCTTATACGAAATTCAAATGTTTCATCCCATATTGGATCAAAACCATTATTCTTAATAACTTGTGTTTTTTGTATTTTTTCATCACAAGGTAAACCATGTGTTGATATTCTTACATATGGATCAGGTATATCTTTTGATTTTACACTTGATCGAGGTAAAAATTGTCCACTTATTATTGTTATTGTTAAAATTTTAGGATTATCAAAATCAATTGGACAGTTCCATGGATTAAATTTTGTTTCTTGTGCATTGATTAAATAATCTGGTTTAAGTATATAACCACAACAACCATTATCACGAAATTTTCCATAATATAATGCCATTAGATCATCATCAGTTTGATAATTTAAAGCAACCAATTGTACACCAAAATTCCAAGGATGTATAGGATCTAGATTACTTGAATCTTGTCTTAAGCCATCAGGATATACACGAAGAAGACGCCATGTTGTTTGTAGAATTAAATCAAGTGGATCTTTTTCTGCATGTTTCAAAAAAGTGTTTTCAGCCAAAGATGATGAATGAAATGATGTATCTTTTAAAATATAAATTTCGAGTTTTACGAGTGAAATAACAAAAAACAACAATTAGATAGCTTACAATTTGCTTCAGCATAATTATTTTCTTGATAAGAAACATTCATAAAATAGACAAATAGGTCAGATAATTTCGATTGAACATCCTACAATATTAAGACAGTATATATAATATTGATTATTGTTTTTATTAGTCACTATCCGATTTAATATATATTCTCAGTAAAATTCATAGAGTATTGAAATTCATGTTTCCTTTATTCTAAAATAATGATTTGTGTGTAATTTTTTTATTACGCAAAATACCCACATACTATGAACATAGAAAATTACATAATCAAACTGTTGAAAATGATCGTTTATCTTTAATTTTTTCTAGTTTTGTTTCAATGTNAAAAACTAAATCGATTGATGTATGTTTCGAAAAGTTTCGTTACCTTTAATTTTTTGGTGAAAATTTCAGCCAGATCTTCTCCGAAAACTGAAAAAACTGAAGTCAATGGAAAAGGTTAAATCATATATCAATCGATTCAGTTTTTCGTACTGATTCCGAATATGATAAGATTATTGCAGGAAAGCTTAGTTTTTATGGAGAAATACGGGCCAAATTCAATCTATTTAAGCCAAAATTCAGAAAAACAGGTTTTTCTCAACAAAGAAAAGAAAAAAACGCGATACATACTTTTGTAACTGGTGGTATGATGAGTTAAATGTGATAAAATATTCGACTTCATTTCTTACGTAAAAAAACTAGACAGGCTTACAAAATCGACCTACACGTATTGCACTGGGCGCGCTTCGAAGCGCCATCATCAAAAAATTTTCAAGATTGGATTCGATGTAACAACTTGTCTTTACTCAGTTTTTGATGCTGAATCTGAAAAAAAATATCTTTAGAAGCTGGAAAAAAGAATGAAGCAGAAAACTTTGCATATCTTGAAAAAAATATTTTTCGAAAAAATACGACGTCCTTCAAGTTTTTCGTATTTTTCGACGTGAAAAAAGCAGTTATTGATGCTAAAAAGTGGTTTTTCGTGATCAGCGGCCTACGCTCTATCCAGTGATGTAAAAAAAGGAGAAAAAAAAATTAACTTGAAGTTTGAATTGCCTGCACCTTAAAATGTCTTTATTTTTTGAAAGTTTAAATATATTTGAGGTGCCTTCGCTTTTAGACGAACATGATCTTTTTTGTTACTCTTAAAAAGATTTCTGGGTGGACTAAAAATTGTAAAAAAATGAACTTTCTGCCAAATTTGTACCCCCCCCCCCCCCCCCTCCCCCCGCTCCTAGAAACAATCGACAACCCTGGTCTAATGTGACACTATTTTGCTATTTATTAATTTTAGAGTCTCTCAACTAGGATGAAATAACAGTAGCAGTTCTGCAGGTTATGGTACGATTTCAATAGAGAAGTGTAGAGATTTTTCAGAGTATAGTAGAGTTAGGATAGAAGTTTTATAGAGTTAGGGCAGAGTAATGTTAAGCAAATGTTTCTTAGTCAAGGTATAGGGCACGAAAAATAGCTTATTCTACATTTCTCTAGTCTGAAGAGACATGAATCAAACTTCCGAAATACATCAGTTTGCATAATAAAACTCTCAATTCGAAAGGAAACTTGTAGTATTCAATCTAAAATTTCCTACTAAATAAATTAGAGAGCTCCTAAGAACGACTCCGATACAGATTTTCAATTTCAAAATATACATTTATCTTATTTTAATAAATATTTACATATTTACATTTTAAGTTTATTTAAACATTTAATAAAAATAAATTTCAATGTTTTCTCAATTATTTATTTTTTCGTTTATAAGTCTTCTTTAACAATGCATATGACTCATATAGACATCTGTCTTTGATATTTTCTATTACTCATTATTGAGACCATTGAGAAGAGAACTGTTTAGGATGATGATTCAATAAAATTGAATCCTTGAGTCATCAGTTTCTCAACTGATCGATGGCGTAAATCAGAACGGACGAGACATATTTTGTGATTAAGATTTTTTTTTTGCTTTTATTTGTATGCATGGCTACAGCGACACGTCGCCCTTTACCAACACTCAAAGTAAAACAATTACATCCTCCACGTTTATCATCATCAGAAAAATCAGCAACAAATAAAACAAAAACCGGAAGAGATCTTGATCCAATTGAAAAACGCCTAATTAGTATTCGTCTTCATCTTTTACACAATACAATTCGACGAACACAAACACCCAGTGAACCATCATTAGTTTTTGATTCATTTCTTTATTTAGGTGGTATAAAATCTCTTGGTAATAGAGTAAGTTTTATCTTTTTTGTTATTTTTCGTATATATTTTTTTCTCTTATTGATAATCAGGTTCGTCTTACACGTCTCAAAATAACTCACATACTTTCCATTGTTTTTATTCCACCAGCAAAAAATTTAATTCCATCACATATCAAACATCTGTTTTTAAAAGCTGATGATAATATTGCATTTGATATAAGACAATATTTTGAAAAAGCATGTGAATTTATTGAAGAAGCACGGCAATCAAAAGGTTGTGTACTTGTTCATTGTGTATGTGGTGTATCACGTTCAACAACATTATGTTGTGCTTATTTAATGAAACATCATTCGATGAGTGTTGAACAAGCATTAGTACAAATACGTTCACGTCGTCATATAATTCAACCAAATAATGGTTTTCTTCGACAACTAGTTTTATATGACGAACAATTACAAATCGAACATAATAATAATGATAAAACAACACTGAATATCATTATTGAACAGTTTGAGAATATTTAATATATATATATATATATTCTTTTATTTATGTGTGAACAGCACGGCTTTTACTCAGTTTTTTAGTTTCACGATTTTATTTTTTAGATTTTATTTTTTTTTAATAATGGCTTCAGCATCATCCAATGATTATAATGAAAAAACAAAATCAACTAATAATAATATTCGATCAGGTTTTCTTGGTAAAACTGGTACTGATGAAGCACCACTAGATAGAACATATTATAATATTCTTAATGTATCACCAAATGCAAATGCATCGGAAATCAAACGAGCGTATTATGCACTTTCACTTCAATATCATCCAGATCGTACACAAAATCTTGATGATTTTACAAGACGTGAATATGCTGAACGATTTAAATTAATATCTCAAGCATATTGTAAGATAATAATAAAAAAAAACAGATTAATTATTTTCAAAATTATGTTTACTTTTCTTAGCGATTCTCAGTGATCCAGAAAAACGAACACTTTATAATAGGTAGGAATCATGTTTGTCACATGAACACGTTGTCTTATGAAGAGAGTCCTACAAATAATAAATCGCTTTTGAGTCGAGAATGTTACACTATCTAAAATCAAATGAGTTAGGAATATCCTGCAGAGAAGTCCAGGCTCTTTGGTTTATCGCTACGAAGATACTCCACATTTACGGTATTTTTTAAATGAATGTCATGTTAACAGAAAAACTGATTTTTGAATTTTGACTTGAAGCTTTGCATAGAAATGTTCCTTACCGAGGATAATTTCTCGAGAATAATTTAGATCTTATTATTGTTCCTATCTTAAGATACAGCTATGGTAAAAAGCGTATCGTTTACGTCGTTCATATATAGTTGCAGATTCGATGCTCTTATTTTAGAATATGAGCAAATCAAAAGACCTGGAATTTTCACAATAAGCTACTTTCGTTCATGCATGTCTCGATGTAAAGTTTCAAGTCTAAATTCCAAAATCAGTTTTTCCGAGAAAATCTACGGCATATATTTTAAACAATATCGTAAAAGTGCAGTATCTCTTCAACAATAAGCTAAGAGTTCGAACGCTTTTTCAGGGTATTTAAATCTCATTTGGATCTTTATGATGCATACAGTTCTGACTCAAAAACGATTAATTACTTGGATGACATCATCCATCCCTTTCGATATATTCTTCGGTCTTTCTGAGCAGAAAGCACCCAAGAATGAGCCGACATGATCTCTAATGGACTTCAGAAGGCGTTTCGTGACCATCATCGCCTTCTAATTTCTTTCCCAAAATCTTGTATCCGCTATTGAGATTTCTCTCATTAAAAGCCGATTCAAATAAAATGTAAATAACTCTTATTGTTTACGTGCAGACAGATCTTCTAGTTTTTCTTTTGTTATTGAATGAATTTAGCTTACGTCACGAATAGATTTTAGAAATTTTATGAAATTAATTGGTAAATTGTTTAAAATTTACTCTTTTATTTAGATATGGTAAAGATGAACGTCTTGTATCACAAGGTAATGATGGAATATCATTGGAAGATTTTGATGCTGAAGAATTCTTTCGTTATATGTTTGGTGGTGAAGAATTTATTGATATCATTGGTGATTTTGAATTAGCTAAATCATTTAAATATGCTATTAGTGAAATATTCAACGAGAATGAACAAACAACTGATCAACAAAATAGACGCTTAGCTTATACTGAAGAACGTGCAAAAGCACATGAAGAACGTATTAAAAAATTATCAACTAATCTAATTTTGAAATTATCTATTTATACTGATATATTTCTATCTGAAAGTAATGATATTCAATCAACACAAGCATTAAATGTATTTATTGAAAAAATTCGTTCCGATATTCCAAATTTATTACAAGCACCACATGGTGAACAATTATTACATTCTATTGGTTATATTTATTCAACAAAAGCACGTTTTTGGCTAAGTAAAATGGATTCACAAGAAGGTCATTTAGGTAAACGTATATTAGGTTACGGTAAAAATGTACAAACATTATGGAGAGATCGCGCGCATGTTATTAAAGAAACTGTTAAAACAGTTAAATGTGCTGTTCAATGGCATCAATCAATGTCAAAATTAGCTAATGTCACTGATGAAGAATCCAATGATTCTCAATATCCATTTCAACACCATTCAGGCCATTTAGAGTATAGTGGATTTACTCCATCAGAACCTACTATTTCGACTTCATCAATAAATTCGAATGCAAATATGACGCCACCGATGAAACACAAACAAAAAACTAAATCATCAACACGATCAATCGTACCATTAACAGATGAAGAAAAGCGTCAACTTGAAACTGATACAGCTACAAAATCAATGGAAGCA